CAAGCATAAAACACGCACCCACGAAAGATGGAGAAAAGGAATCCAAGTAAGGATCTGATAAAGGACACCATCCCATCCAATCTCGCGAAGATTTATAAGAAAGGATTGAAAGCCTAATCGCCACACATGTAGATAAGGAATCCCCCCGGCTGACGAATCAGTTTGGATCCCCACTAGATCTGTAATCGCAGAATCCGTGCAATCGAAAAGATCACCCGAATCCGCACGAAACTGAGCAAGCAAAATGTGAGAAAACGTCTGTTAGGAGAACACCTGCGAAGGATTGTCACACTATTGTCGACAAACGACTGAACTACGAATAAGGAGCAAAAGATCCATATCAACAGAAATCTGATCTAGAGACAGATCGTAAACTATCGCTAGAAGATTGGCACGATTAACCCGAATCTGGGTGCTGATTCCACTACGGAGTTCAGATTGAAAACGAGTAAAAGCCCTAGAAATGAAGGAGGAAAAGGAACAGTGGGCGGCCACTCAAAACCCTTGAACCATAGAGAGGATCTCGCTCTCATTTTTTTTTGTTGCATTTCTCTTGGACTTTTCCTTTTCAGTAGGTGAACAATTGAAATATTTATTGTTTGAGCTCCTAGGTTGCATGATTAAATCTTATTTATAGGGGATTGATATACATGTTTTTTTGTGATTAATAGAATCAAATATATTTTTTCCTATTGGTTGAACACTTTAAATGATGATAGTTTGAGCTCATAGGTCAGAGGTGATGATTGATATACATGCTTATTTAGTTTTACTTTAATATAATTAATAACTTAAAAATGTTAAGTGTTAAAAATGACATGAAAAAATTGTGGAGTTTTTTTTGTCCAAAAAATCTTTCTCCACAACGACCATGATGGAAGTTAAGATGAGTTGTTTACCAATAATGCTTCAAGTTTGTTTTTGCACAATTTGAACCTTTAAAAATATAAAGTAATTAACTATATACTAATTATTTAAAAATTAATTTAGATTTTGAAATACTTATAACTATTGAAAATTCTAGCGGTGAATTTAAAACTTTCCCTTTTTCCGTGCACATCCACTAACCACTACATTATTTATTTCCATTTCTAAAATTTAATTTCTTAAAATGAGGCGTTATTGTTTTTTAAGGCATGATTTAATTATATGATTGATCTGTTTATTTCCACACCTATAATTTGATTTCTTAAATGAAGTCATTTTTATATGTGGTTGTTTATAATATGTTGATTTAGAATTTTAAATGGATTACTGTATGTATCTATATATATTTACTAGCTTATTACCCGGCCCATTGGCCGGACCCGGACGTAGTCTCAAAAATTGACTCTTTGATTCTAACTAATATTATTCATTAACATGTATGCGACGATGTCTGGAGGTAAGTCAACAACACCATATATAATAATATGATGGAAAGTCATTATCCCATTGCATTACAAAAGAAACAGTGAAACATAAACACTATAATAGAGAATCCAAACCAAGCCATTAGCCTTAAATATAGCCACTATTGTCATGCACCATGATGCCCCTAGAGTGAACATGAAAAAACCCAAGAAATGCTTACCTGGCTCCAATTATCGATGGTAAAAATGGAAACCACCAAGAGATTTCATAAGAAAAACCCAAACGGGATTGCCCTTAGACCAAAAACCACAGTGACACCAAAGGCGATGAAACCCTGGCTGAGAAAACAAAAATCAGCTATGTCCAAATCATGTCGATGGAATGCGTCCGCTAGTTTTTTCTTATAAATAGTTTTGTTAATTAAAATGACAAAAAATAAAAAGAAATACAAAGCATACAATCTGCTGTAGAAATCTCATATACAAACAAAAGAAACAGGCAAGCAATATATGCCTTGAAGCACCAACACATATAACTTTTGTCAATATCTCTACCACTCTGAAATCCTACCAAATAACTCTTAACCACTCTGCTACACTAAACACACAAATGACTTACAGCTCTATACTTTCTATCTCTTCAATCTGTATAAGCCAATCGTCATGAACCCTCCCCATTATCACGATTTTATCCTTCTCGACAGCTAACACACTGATGGTCCACTCTTACACTTTCTTCGTGGCAGCTACTTGACATTTTGCATCAGTGCACATTAATTCAAACTACCATTCCTTGCTTCAATTTATGACTTTGGGTAATATCACTTCAGTCATAATACAAATTTACATGAAATGATAAGAATGATCATTATAATAGCCTTGTAAAATTTAGAGTACCAATGGCGATTCCTCTCTTCTCCTCAGTGGCTTCGTCAATATATGATATTGATGACTATCTCTACAACACATTCTATATGATCATAGTATGGTCTTTTGTATAAACCATTTCTGCCTTTTACCCATTTTCCCATTGCAACTCCAATAGCTAACTTGTTGGGCCTCTCCTCTAGGTAAACAACTTGTATCAACATCAGGCATGAAAATAAAAATTGTTTTGGTTGAGATACTATCAGGATCTTGTGATACTCTGAAGAAGGCAAAAAAAATTCTCAGACATTGTCAACCCCCAATCAATTTGACGTGGGTCATTGCTCTCTTACCATCTAAATTAAATAGGAAGCTTAGGTTAGCCTCTTTAGTAGCTTAACTTGACAATTTCTTAGAGGAGATACAATCATGATTCACAATTCTAGAACAAACACCTCAGATAATACAATCTTATGGAAACAACCCCAATGAAGCACCCAAATTACAATTATGTACATGTTTCCTATGAGGGTGTGCATGTGCAGATTAAGAAAAATATAAGGATTAAGGAGGGAGCTTACTTGGCACGCGGTCTTTGTGTACTGGAAACTAACCACAAAAACATTTCAATCAGAAAATGATGATACCGAAAAGGAGTATCATAATAAAAGCAACAAAAAGTATAGCTATTTATCTTTAATCAACTCAAAAATAAACCTAGAAGATCAACCAAATGAACTGATGTCAAAAGATCATATTACTGTCAAAGAAACTAAATAACCCATCAGTCAGCTCTCTAAGCAAGAACACTCAACCTTTCCATATTTACCCCTCCGAAAATTGCTTTGCGTAACAATATATGTGGATGAGGTTAGGCGATTGTCGAGTCCGATGGGAAGGTTTGGAGAGACGGTGATGGTTGGTGTTTAGTAGATCGAGAGCCCAAAACACTGTTTATCTTTAATCAACCCAAAAATCAACTGTACCTAGAAGATCAACCAAATGAACTGATGTTAAGATATCACACATTACTGTCAAAGTAGCTACGTAACGCACTAGTCAACTCTCCAAGAAAGAACACACAACATTTCCATATTTACCCCTCCGAAAATTGTTTTGCGTAACAATATAAGTGGAGGAGGTTAGGATATTGTCGAGTCCGGTGGGAAGGTTTGGAGAGACAGCAATGGTTGAGCGTTTAGTAGGTTGGGACACCATTTAGACCTGTTTACATTAGTTGTGCCTTTTCAATCCGTATTCGACAAACAAACATCACTCAACATTTCCATATTTAGCCCTCTTAAAGACGCATGTGCCCCATATTAACTCAAAACTTCTATGTTCAAAAATATCGTTGCTTTATGGTAGTTATATTAATTAAGTCTATGTCAAGAATTTTGCATCGCTTCTACACATTCAATACTGCAATTCGATGTGAAATATTTGAACTAATGACATTAGGCTTGCGATTTTAGGAATATTCTTCTTTTATTAGATAAATAGAAATAGAATTAATTATTAAAATCGAATTAAAATAATCAAAGTATGAAAATAGAAGTATCAAATACCAAAAAATATTTAGGGGAGAGCTAGTGGCTTAGCTAACTGTGATGGAAAATTCCTATGATTTTTAAGATTTAAGCTTTTTGTATGTTTTTAATTCAAAAAGTTTAAACAAATTTGTTTAGTGTAACTGGTTATGTTTTGTGTCTTTTTTCAAAGAGAACAGAATTCAAATCCCATCACTTATGTATTTTTCCTGTAAATAAGAAAATAATAAATAGTTGTGAAGACGAATCTACCCTTCCTACTTTTGTTATGGATGCAAGGATTTTGTAATGTGGAAAGCACCTTTCACAGTTCACTATTATATTAGGTGTAGCCAAAGTAATCCGGGTGGTTGACCGTTTAGTGGGTCAGAAACTATTTGGACCCGTTTACATTAGTAGCTAGTAGCGCATTTTCCATCCGCGTTGGGCAAACCAACAACACTCAGTCTTTCCATATTTACCCCTCCAAAAATTGCTCTAGTGTAACAATAGAGACAGAGGAGGTGAGTCGATTGTTGAATCTGATGGGAAGTTTGTAGAGACGGCGATAGTTGAACGTTTAGTAGGCCGGGGGCACTATTTTTTCCATCTGCGTTCGGCAAACCAACATCACTCAACCTTTCCATATTTACCCCTCTCTTAAAGACACATGTGCCCCGGATTCACTGAAAAGTTCTGTGTTTAAAAATATCGTTATTTTATTGTAGTTATAACAATTAAGTCTATGTTAAGAATTTTGCATCGCTTCTACACATTCAAGAGTGCAATTCGATATGCAATATTTGAATCAATGACATTTAGGTTGCTAACCGTGGTCGAAAAGTCCTGTGATTTTTCAGATTTAACCTTCCTGTATGTTTTTAATTGAAAAAGATCACACAAATGTGTTTATTGTAATTGGTTATGTTTCTTATCTTTGTTTAAAGAGACCATGGTTCAAATCTCATTACTGATGTGTTTTTTCTGTAAATAAAAAATGATTGTGAAGACGAATCTATTCTTCCTACTTTTACTCTGGATGCAGGAAATTTGAAATGGGGCTTCAAGTTTTCTCATTTGGCTTTTATTTATTGTGTAGATCTATAAGCGATTTTTCAAGGGTATTTTCCACCTGTTATATTCCAGTTTGTTTTTTTATATTTTTTCTATGTAATTTTGTGTTTGACATGCGGGAAACAGGAAAGTGGGTATAGTTTAGTTAGAGAAGTGCAAAAAGTCGCCGGTACAGACGGGACAAGTCACCGCGTAATACTTGAACAACTCTCTCGGCTCCGCAATGAATAACTGGCGTCCCCTCCAACCCATTCCAATTTCAGAAACCAACACCGACAGCAACAGCAAGCTTGCTTGGCCTTGACTGAAAACCCTAATCTCATCTCTGTCTATCTCTATCCCCCAAATCCATTCATTTCGCTCAGATCTTTCTTTGCCATCATTCGAATCGATCCGCTCCATCTGATTCGAGAAGAATTCGCTATGGCGAAAGCCAGATACTCCCGCTTTCCGTCTCGGAAATCCAATTCATCCACCATGATTTTCACCATGCTCCTCATGTTCACCTTCGTCATTCTCATCCTCCTCGCCCTCGGAATTCTCTCCATTCCCAGCAATTCTGGCGGCTCCGGGAAAGCGCACGATCTCAGCAACATTGTCCACAATCAAGCGGACAGGTAAATGCCCCTTCCCTCCTTGTTTTCGTCCATTTTCTACTTGCTTCTTCTTCGTGATCGATCTGGCTCGCAGCAGCGCCGAGGACCAAGGGAAATCGGAGCCTTGGGCTGAAGTCATCTCCTGGGAGCCTCGCGCCTTCGTCTACCATAATTTTCTCGTGAGTCTTCGGATGGCTGCCCTCAACTTCAATTGCGTTTGCCTATGTCGTTGATTTCCGATCTCCTTTCAGCAAAATGTTTGTGCAACAGTTATTCTTGGCTTCTCTTTCGTAGTAATGTAATATTGTTGAAGATGGAGTGTTTGGTCAATCTTCCTTTCTGTTGGTTCAGTCTCACTTGAGCGCTCAAACGTTTGCCACTGAAATCTATTGTTAGTCGCAACTGAATGGGTTCATCAATCCTCGTTGCAGAGCAAGGAGGAGTGCGAGTACTTGATCAGTCTTGCGAAGCCTCATATGGTGAAGTCCACAGTTGTTGATTCCGAAACTGGAAAAAGCAAAGATAGCAGGTGTAGTTACTTACTTGGTCTGCCCGTTTCCCCCTTCTTAGTTTCATGGTTTAAAGGTGCTCTTCCTTCCGGCCTGCTGCTTCTACTTTCCTTCAAAATTGTTATGCATTTGTAACCTCAGAGTTCGTACAAGCTCTGGAACATTCTTAGCTCGAGGGCGGGACAAAGTCGTCCGGGAAATTGAGAAACGGATTGCTGATTTCACCTTCATACCTGTAGGTAAGGCAGTTGGACGGACCTTTCATTATATATATATATATATGTTTTTGCTGCTTCTTGTTCTTATGGAATCTACCTATATGCACGCTAGTCTGGTTGATCCTGTCTTGTTTTTGCTTACAAATACTATGTTCATGTGTGTCATTTGAGTCTTGAATGTCCATTCGAGAAGACACATGGCGATGTTACGTCAGAAATTAGTCATTGATATGCCAGTTGGAATAACTCTTAATTAATTACCCAAGTGAAAGCAAATATGCAGAACATGGGGAAGGGCTTCAAATCCTTCATTACGAAGTCGGGCAGAAATATGAGCCCCACTTTGATTACTTTATGGATGATTACAACACCAAGAATGGGGGACAACGCATAGCTACCATTCTTATGTACCTGTAAGTGAGATGGTCTATTCACTTTTTAAGCTCTTAACTGTTTGGGTGTTTCTTACTTGAGGCTATTGCCAAAGTTTAGCATCCAATAGTCCTTGCTGTGCGCAGGTCCGACGTTGAAGAAGGTGGTGAGACAGTTTTCCCTTCTGCAAAAGGGAACTACAGTGCTATCCCGTGGTGGAACGAGTTATCCGAATGTGGGAAGAAAGGGCTTTCAGTCAAACCTAAGATGGGTGATGCATTGCTTTTCTGGAGCATGAAACCTGATGCCAGTCTGGATCCTTCAAGTTTGCATGGTTAGTATAATCAGCCTGATTTTGGACTTGGCCATTGCCTTTTAGTTGAGCATGATTGCTGTGCTACTCCATGAAAAGTGCACCCTCACCAAAATGATTCTATTCACATTGCCTTCTCCTCTTCAGGTGGTTGTGCTGTGATTAAAGGGAATAAGTGGTCCTCTACGAAGTGGATGCGAGTGAATGAGTACAAGGTTTGAATATGTGACGAGATAAAGGTAAAGGGGGCGTCTGTTTAACTCTTGCCTTGTTGCTGCTGATAGTGAGAACCGTAAACATAGTAATCATTTCGCAGCCTCAACTTTATGGTGGTTCTTTCGTTGTCGCAGGGAACAGTGTAAAATCATGTCTTCTCGTCATCTGCCCTTACTGGTTGAAAGCTTGAAGGTTGATAAGCTTCGAAGTGAACCTGCTATCTTACAATATGCAGCCGTGTTCCTTCTGTCGACTATGATATCCCACCATTGGGAACCCCTTCCCACTGTCGCCATAAAAATAGGCTTAATACACTTTTTTAGAGTTTGGAGCAGAACAGATTGGATACGTTTTGACAGTTCGAAGCATACAGACTTGGGAATTTTTGCGTTGATAGATACGACTTAGGAGTATTTGTTGCATTTGGTTTTTGATTCGATCGTCAGAAAAAGAGTTTTCCCCGGCTGTTCTGCCGTTCAAGAAATGTAGTTGAAGAATGAATTTTCGCACTGGAGACATCCGTTGGAATCATGGAGATATAAACACCAAATAGTTTGGCGCTGGATTGGAATGTACTATGTAGAGACTACCGAGGAGAGAGAAATCCATGCACATAACTCAAGTAAAGAAGTAATGCATAACACATAATTATTTCGCTTTTTTCCTTTTTGCAATTTCGTTCCTTTGTTTTATTCTGGATTTAAAAATATAATTTTGCACAAAAGTTGGTAGAAGGGTGAATTGCAAGTTTGGTCACTCATATTATTTAATTGTAACATGTTAGCCACCCGAATCACTTTCCCTTCAATTTAGCCACTATTACTACACGTTTATTTCATCGTTGGTCACCACCGTCGAAATCCGTTAAATCTGGCCTAGGTGGCAGTCATTCAACTCCAACATTTGACGTTAAAAAGCTGATGTGTTAGTTAAAAATAATTATTTTTTATCTCCACGTCATAATAAAACCTAATAGATAAACTTTTCACAAAAAGTAATCAATATAAATATTTATTAATAAACGGAAGCTGCTGCTCTTGCGTCTTCCGATCTCTGTTCCGCCGCCGCCGTCTCTGAAGCTTCCGAGCTGGAGGAGGTAGAAGAAGAAGAAAGAAGCCCTCCGCCCACCCGCGTAGCCCAGCCACAGGCCACCTGCGTCGTCTCCTCTCTCCATCGTCGCCCTTAGTCACCGCTGGGATTCCGTCGTCGAGGAGGAAGAAGGTCAAAATTATCCTACCCTGCACTGCTGGAGGCAGCAAAAACAGAGCAAAATTTTCTTTGGTCGGCCGGTGGTAATCGAACGCAAAGAGATTCGCCCAATCCAAAGAGCTTCGAATCATTTGAGTTTCCCGATTCAAAATCGATGGTCGGTGGTAATCGTCGACTTAGCCTAACCTCAGCCTCACTGAGCTCATCTGGTTCGCTCGATGAGAAGATAAGCTTCCCTCGTCGGAGCCACGAGCTATGAGGGAAGGTAGACTGCAATTGGTTCGCTCGATGGGAGGAGTACCTTCCCTCGCCGGACGAGCTCATGCCAATCACTCCTGAGTCCTGATCTCGCCCTTGCCTTCTACATCCGGAATCTCACCAACTCCTCCGCGACTGCGGCGTGGAAGTGGCCAGTAATTCGCTCATCGGAATTAGGCGGTCCCGCCTCCGCCACCTCCTTTACCAACATCCAGCGGCTTGCCTTCCCCTACACACAACGGTAACCACGTGAATCCTTCTCTGGCAACTTCGCAGCACAACTCGTACGAATTCGCCGCCGACTCCTCGGCGGAGCTGGATTCCGACACCGGAGGCAACGAGCCGACATGGAAGCTGAAGCGGCTGAGGCTGTGGGGAAAATAATTTCTCAAAGGGTTAGGTTCTTTTACTTTTTTAGGGGTTCCCAAACGATTAGGTTAGGAAAGAAAGAAGAGGTGGAAAATCTTTTTTATTTTTATTTATTTTTTAATGGACACATCAGTTTTTTAACAGTCAAAAGTTAAAGTTGACTGCCACATAGGATAAACATAACAGAGTTGGAGGGAGAGTGACCATAAATGACATAAACGTGTAGTATTAGTGGCTAAATTAAAGGGAAAGTGATTTGGGTGGCTAACGTGTTACAAATAGATAATATGAGTGACCAAACTTGCAATTCACCCGTTGGTAGAAATAAGAAATCACGTCGGGCTCTTTGGCTAGAGAGAAAAAAATAAGAAGCTAAAAGCTAAAATGACTTCTTAGCCTCATTGAAATAGAAACTCCTACAATTTGGGGTTATAATTTTTTTGCTTAGTGTTCAAGAAAGCTAAGTTTCTTTTTAATTTAAATTTCTTCCTCCGGTGATGTCTCAGTTGTTGACTTACGAGGTAAGATTTGGAATCTTATTTACTAATTTATTTACTTTCTTAATTATTGCTGATTAGATGAGGAATAATTAATTGGCTTTGCCTCTTGGGTAGTTACTTCCCCTTTAATATGCTTTATTATTATCATTATTGTATAGCAATTAAACGTCAATTTTTAGTGGTCTCATTTACTCTTCCTCTTAAATTTTGCTAAATAGAAATTTTATTTCATTAGCTTTGGTAATTCACTTTTCAGAATGTTGTTTATTGGGTAATTCGGATCCATCTTCAAATGTAGAGCTATTATACTTCTATTTATCAATTATACAATTGATGTTATACATTCGATTATGTCGCTTATGCCTAAAGGGCATTCCTTAATCTCTTGAGATAGAGATCTTTAGCATCGCAGTGGATGCCTTTTTGGGGTTAGATATAACCTGCCCTATCAAAAGTATATTGATCCAGTTTGATTGGGTCACAAAGAATCTTCACGGATGAGCAAACGGTCTTTGCCAAATTTTCAGGTGATGGAACTGTCTCATTTGCTTTTGGTAAATTTATTATGCTATTACTATGAGAAAGTGTCTTACTCATAATGTTTGATTGTTATCTCTCGAGGATATTCTCAACCGGTCATTAGGATGCTACATCGAGGAAGTCTTCCCATTCTAAAGTCGGAGATATTTTAAGGGAAGTTCTTTCTCTCTTCTCGACTCCCTGTGTCAGTTTCGCGTCTTTGCTCCTCGGAGCTTTCATAGAGCTGCCCACCTCGTGGCAAAAAAGGCTCTTTTATCGGGAGTCCGGTTGCATACGGGCTACCGTTCTTTATTATTATCTGTTTTATATATTTGTTGTTCGGCCATGCCCTGGGGGCTTATCTTGGATAAAAAAAAAAAAAAAAAGCTAAAATTGTTGTTTCTACCATAAGGGGTCGTCTAGATAAAGAATTTCAAAAAATGAAGGTTAGTGTCAAATCTAGGAATTAGGAATATGAAATGATGGATTTGAGAAAATTGCCACTTGGACTTTAGATTTTATTATGAATTGTGTTGAATATGATTTATGGTTTACATTTTGATTTACCTTATTACTCGAAAGTCTTTTGTTATGCTTAACCGATCTACTTATTTTTTGAAGTAAATTTTCAAACTGTGCTTTGCTTTTCTTGGGTTTGTACCTTTTAATTCAAGAAACCAAAACTTGTGTTTCTCTAGTGTTTGCATTAGTTGTTATACACAATTACAACTTCATGGTTCATTTTTTGAATTATTTTTGCAATATTTATAAGTTTCATGGAATAAGAAAAAGGAATAATGAAGGTCAATATAGAATATTAACATTAGTGTGGATAGGAGTCATTTAGCATTAAGATTTTCAAATCTGTGCGGCCCTTGAATTTTATATCCAAAAAAGTTCCAAATTCGTAGACCGCACTGATATGATACCCACTAGGGGTGGCAGTCGGTCGGTTTCGGTTTAACCGAAAACAAAAAACTCGGTTATCGATTAAACCGAGCCAACCCCTATCATTGTCGACCACCGACCGTGAGGGAGGTCACGGTTATCCGACCAACCGACCGGTCGGTTTCGGTTTTAGGATAGGTTAGCTGACCAACCGAAAAACCTTCATTTTGTAAAAAAAAAACTAAAAATTAATTAAAACAAATCTCCACCACTCAATTCTGTCAATCCTTATCTCTCCTTCCTCCACCAACCCACCAGACCACTCCCCTTCTCTCTCCCCCAATCAACTCCCCTTCTGTCTCCCCCCAATCAATTCCGTTCCCCTTCTTCTCTCCCAAAAATCTCTCCCAATCAATTCCCCTTCTCTCTCCCAAATCAATTCCGTTCCCCTTCTTCTCTCCCAAAAATCTCTCCCAATCAATTCCCCTTCTCTCTCCCAAATCAATTCCGATCCCCTTCTTCTCTCCCAAAATTAATTCCCCTTCAGCCTTTCTTCTCTCTTTCTTCCTAAAATCTCTCCCAAAATCAATTCCCCTTCAACCTTCTTTCTTTCCCAAAAAGTCTTCCCAACTTTTCTTCTTCCCCTCCTCTCACCGAACTTCCTCTCTTCATCTCTCATGGCCTTGATCGCTTCGCTGGCGGCGGGGATGGCGGTCGGCGCGATCGAGCAGTGGGAATCGGAGAGCGGACGGCGATTTAGGAAGGAGAGCAAGGAGAGGATGCGGCGGCCGGACGCGGTGGCGGCGACGTTGGGCAGCGAGAGAAGCCGGAGGTTTCTGTGTGGTGGGGTGGTGGATTAGGCGGCAGAGCGGAGATCGGTTAATTTCGAATATCCGATTAATCGCGGTTAATCACCGTCGGTTAGTCGGCTAGCCGAAAACTCCCTCCGACTCTCCGACCACCGACCGACCTTAATAACCGTCGGTTTTCGGTTAGTTATTAACCGACGGTTTTCGGTTAAAACCGGCGGTTAGCCGCTAACCGGAGACCGAATTGCCACCCCTAATACCCACTTTTTTATGCACTCAAATGTTGTATTGCCCAATTCCCAATAGTGTTGGGTTTTTTTTTACAATAGATAATCATATATATTGATTCGAACAATAGATCATCACATTCTGGAGTTTAACCAAACCATCAAATCAAAGAAACGACTCGTAGTCGAGTACAAAGAAAGTGCCTTTTTAGCCAAAAAATGGGCGACCCTATTACTACTCCGACCTATAAATCGCACATTAAGTCTAGTGTGAAGAGCCAAAAAGCGTGTGACTTCCTCAAGGATGACCCCCATCTGATTATCCCGGGGATCTGCCCGATTTATTTTTATCAATGATTACTTTGGCATCTCCTTCCAACCTTGCCTCCGTAAACCCATTCTCCAGACAACAGAGAATTGCCTCCCGGAGAACAAGGAGCTCATTTACCATAGGATCATCAATATAAGCAAACTGCACCCCTTTCGCCAAAAGGATCCCCCCTTGGTTCTTAATAATGATGCCCCCTGCAGAGTGAGACCCACTCTTGGTTCCCCCATCCCACATGCAGATCACTGAATTTGGATTCACACCACCAGTGGGGCAGATGACCATGCTACGCGGTCTACTGGTAGGCTAATCCACTCCTGATACTGCTGGTGAAATTGTCGCATTAAAGTTGGAATCCCAAACTATTTACCCTCGAAGAAAACCCAATTAAGAGACCGCTAGATCCGCCAAAGGACCATGACAACTGCCATGCATGAATAGTTGGGATTGATGTATAAGGCCCATCAAATTTTTCAGGAAGAGCGGAAAAGTGTGACAAGGCAACCCTTGCCCTAGATGTTCGAGGCCCGAATGATCCCAGAGCGCCCTTGCCACTGGGCAATCCAGGAACATATTTTCCATTGTCTCTGATTCTGCCCAACAACCAGGCATCTGGGAAGCACCGAAACCTC